ATTAAATATAAGAAACTACTAAACTCTTCTACGTGTCTTTCCCCCAAAACACGAACACGTCAACACACTTTACATTGGCATAATATTGACCCTTGACCTCGTCCCGCTGAGACACGCACCAATAAAAAAAAATCCATTAACTAGGTCGCAACAAAACCTCATATTTTCGAAATCATAAACAAAACTGAACTGGATATAACAAACTACTAGGAATCAATATGGCGATATTACATACAGGTGTCGCGTTCCTAATTGGCAGAATGACTCTAACGAGCCAAACACCTTTTGTGTAATTACTGACAGGCGGCGAGGCTAGGGAAATGATGAATGTTGGGGTGGTGGTGAATGTTGGGGTGGTGGTGAATGTTGGTGATTGTTCTGCCTACTGACAAATAAACAATCCACCATAGAGGTGTGCTGAGAGAAGGTTGCTGGGCACCAGGGCTAGGTTCCAGGGAGTTACTAGGATTTCGCTGGGTGTTGGGTTCAAGGTTCCGCCATGCCGATGCTTGGCGGGCGAGCAATTTCAATGACTAGCATTTGAAATTGAAATAAGTTTATTAACATAAAACACACACACACACACGAAGGAATGAGGTAACATACGCATCACTCAGTTAGTTTCCCTTAATTGCATTATCAGAGGCAACTTCTGGGTAGTATTCATTAGAGTTGTTAAATACGGCCCCGAATTCATCTGATTTATTAGGCTTTTTGAGAGAATTTGCGCACAGCGTCTGTCAAAAGCCTAGTAAATTATCTTAGTTATTTTCAATAGCACTTGACAATTATTCTGTATGTTATATACGTGAATACAGTAATTACTTGCGTGATAATATTAATGAATGCGTTAGAGATACGCGGACTCAGTTGGTAGAGTCGAATTTGCATCCATTGGTATGCCAAGTGATCGATGCGCGCGTTGATATCTACAAACGATTAAGTATGGTGTTAGATATTAGTGTTGTGGTATTGGTATGGGTGATAGCAACACGAGAGAGGTCGTGAGCGATTGACGGGGCACCAAGCAAGTTCCTCTTGGGGGAGAGGGGGTGCCGGACTTAGTTGTTTGGGCACACATTAAATGTGCAACCTGTCCCTCCTACCCAGAACGTCAGTTTTTGCTCGTATTTCGCTCCACTGATTATGCCCTCCGCTAAATACGTCACCTGATGAATACGTCACCTACTGATTGTCCCACCCACTGAATAAACCACCTATTGAATACGCCACCCACTGATTGTAACACACATTGAATACCAAATCCACCACCCACTGGACACACCACTCCAACCACACCCCACCACCACCAACCACACCCTACCACCAGCACCAGCACCACCGCCGCCACCACCACCAGCCACACCCCACCACACCCCACCACCACCACCACCCACGCACCAAGCAAGACAACCAGAAAGAGAGAGAAGAGAGGTCAGGCGTGAGACAAGGGAGAGAAGCAGCGGACTGTGTTGCATTAAAGTTGACGGTGTTGGTGAGGCGGGCCACCCAGTGCCATGATAACTGGCACTCTTTTACCTGTGACCGCCCCCTTCCCACCTGTTGCACCCCTCCCACCTGTGGCACTCTCCCACCTGTTGAATTCTCTCACCTGTGGCACCCTTCCATCAATGGCCTTCTCTCATCTGTCTCACCATCTGCTGCACTCTCCCGTCTGTGGCATCCCTTTCACCTGTGGCATCAACCACCTGTGTCCCACCTGTGGCACCCTCTCATCTGTGGCACCCTCCCACCTGTGGCACCTTCCTATCTACGGTCCCCTCGTACACAGGTACAGTCCTTCTGCCTCGCCCCTAACGCTAGCGGCATTCTTCAAGTCTGTGGCAATTACCACAACAACATTCTTGTGGCAGCCTTCCCAGCTTCGACACCCTCACGTCTGTGGTGCCTTCCTGGCTGTGAGGACTGGCCGCATAGCGCTGCATTTTGCCACCTGTGGTATGCTGCTACAGGTTACTCTCTCACACAGGTCGTCTCCCACTGTAGCGCCGAGTGCCGCTGGTGCGGCTCTTGTGTATGTATGGCAGTAGCGGCAGCAGGCACAAGAGCAGCAACAGGTGCAACAGCGGTGGGGGTGGGAGCAGCTGCAGCAGCAGCAGCAGCAGGGAGGGGGTGAGTGGGTTAGCAGGAGCGGCGAGTTAAAGATGACACACCGGTCTGCTGCCCCTCACCCTATCTGGCACTAGTGGCACCACCACCGTCCCTCACCCGCCCACCCCCATCAGCACCACCGCCCCCCACCCAACCCCTCATCAGCACCACCGCCCCCCACCCAACCCCTCATCAGCACCACCAACCCCCACCCACCCCCATCAGCACCACCCTCCCCCACCCAACCCCCCCATCAGCACCCCCAATCCCCTCCCACCACACATCCCCGTGGCCACTGAGAGGCAGGTACCCACAGCCAAGAGGAAGAAAGCAAGACTGCCGCCTCCTCGAGGGAAAACAATCAGGTGATAACAGTCCTCACACAAGACTCAGTATACAAGAGGGAGAGGCAGACCGGACCACGCCCACGGCCCTCCTTAATGACAAGAATAACTCCTATGTTAAGGTTGCATAGGGATTAAGACCGGGCCGGGGGGGGGGGTATATGATGGTCGGCATGGCTCATACCTCACTGCTATATTCACCGAAGAGAGCGAAGGAGAAGAGGAGGGAAGAGAAGAGACGAGGAGAGAAGAGAAGAGGAGAGAAGCGGAAAAAATAAGCGGGAAGAAGAGAAGTGCGCACATTTCCTGTGCCAGGTAAGTCCACTTCAGGCTCACCATAGCCAGTGCTGCTTGGAACTTTTTGTCTTAGTGGCTGTATCTAAAACAACAACAACAAGAGAAGAGAAGAGAAGAGAAGAGAAGAGAAGAGAAGAGAAGAGAAGAGAAGAGAAGAGAAGAGAGCGCGCCACCCGCTCAACACCCTGCTGGCTTATCCCTGGCAACTGTGCTTGGCGTTGAAGAGAATCTGGGGAAAGACAATAGCAAACGGATTCTTTTTTCTATTTCAGAGGGAAAGGTTTTTTCCCTTTTCCCCTGTATTACCACACAGACGGTGGCAATCTAGTGTGGCACAGTGAAGGGCTCCCCTCTGGACAGAAAAGCCCAGAGAGGGGGAAACGTCCTCTCTGGACGGGGGACCTGATCTTTTTGGCTGAGAGAAGGGTCCACTTTAAACAAGGGAAAGGGAAAGCGTCCCCTCTAGATGAAATAAGGAACCCCCTTCCCTAAATAAGGGAAGGGAAAAAATGATAAAATCAGGGTTCTCCTGCCCAAATTATTATGGCGGGAACTAACTTCTGCCATCACTTGCATGCGTATGCCGTTTTCTACACCGAGAAAACACCGTTTTCTACAGCATGTGCACTTCGAATTAGAAGAGGTGCGACGCAGACTTCTTTAGGTTCCAGGACCTCGCAAATCCCAACAGTCCATTTCACACAATGTTTCTCCAAGAGACGGCTTACAAAGGAGACCAGATTTGACCAAAAGCTTAACTTAGGCAAAGTGAAGAAGGAGCGAGGCTACATGCCCTCAGACATGCGCGCGACCTTGACCAAGATGTTTATGTATCACTGAAACTGTTTTGGCTTCAGGCACTGCACCAGCATCTTCATGTCTCAATAGGATCGAGTGCCGCTCTGGACAAAGGCACTCGTTCATACCAACTGATGACATACATGCTAGTGGACAACGGGCAAAATAAGAAACTAATGAGCAACGGAGGACAAAACAACATTTTCTTTACTCGCCAAAGGCTCATAACACATCCCCCTCCCCCCCCCTCGAAGAGGAAAGGCTGTCCCCATAAAGGAACTCGACACAGACCGAGTTCTGTGTCGGTCTGTACAAAGAAACAACTCACTGGAACGCATAACAGACAAAATATGTTCAGGTCTTCTCATCTTTATCGATCCAGCGACAAAGAAACAAGAAGCTTCCAGGGACAAAGAAATAAGAAGCTTCCAGGAACAAAGAAACAAGAAGCTTCCAGGAACAAAGAAATAAGAAGCTTCCAGGGACAAAGAAACAAGAAGCTTCCAGCGACAAAGAAACAAGAAACTTCCAGGAACAAAGAAACAAGAAGCTTCCAGGAACAAAGAAACAAGAAGCTTCCAGGAACAAAGAAACAAGAAGCTTCCAGCGACAAAGAAACAAGAAGCTTCCAGCGACAAAGAAACAAGAAGCTTCCAGAGACAAAGAAATAAGAAACTTCCAGCGACAAAGAAATAAGAAATTTCCAGCGACAAAGAAATAAGAAACTTCCAGCAACAAAGAAATAAGAAGCTTCCAGGAACAAGGAAACAAGAAGCTTCCAGCAACAAAGAAATAAGAAGCTTCCAGCGACGAAGAAATAAGAAGCCTTTAGGAACACAACCGTCGAGGAGAGTCGACCGTCTTGAAGCCTGAATCTTCCAGAGAGAGAGCTGGGAATTTGGGTTTTATATACGACGTGAAATAACCCTTGACCTAAATATTCAAGTCATTGGAGAATGACATAATATGCCTTAGATAATACTATAAGCGTATAGAAATATACTGAAGCAAAAACTTAAATCATTCTTGTAATTTACCGTTTTATATCGACATTTTCGACCCGTGAGTTTGTATATTTGGCAAGTTGACCAAACCACAGACTAGAAAGTGAAGGGACGACGACGTTCTCAAGTCGATTGTGACAATCGACTTGAGAATGGTCCAGGACGGACCGAAACGTCGTCGTCCCTTCACTTTCTAGTGTGTGGTTTGGTCAACATATTTCTGCCATGTTATTGTGACTCCTCGCCTGTATAATTGGCTAGATGGCCGTCAGAATGATTTTGGTAGAAGGACATGTGAGAATGCCATCATAGCCTTGACCCTGGCTATATTGACCTCTGACCCTTTGTTACATGTGACCTCGTGAGCACCGCTCAGCCATACACCTATATGTAGTGCCTTAGATGACTTGAAAACACACACACATATATATTTATATACGTATAAATGACGTACAGAGCAGTCTTCAATAAGGTGAGGGAGTTTGGGGATAGGCAGAGTTCACACCGTTCAGGGGAAGGGGGTCAGGTCATAAGGTCACCTGACCTGACCCACCGAAACGACCAAGGATACCTCGATCGATGACATATAAAGCTAATAATCTGTGTAAGGCTCAAGTTTAAATAAGTTTATTGACACAATAACATACATTCCAAAATGATAGAATCATTTGACACGAGTAAAGACTGCAGACAGTGGGGTGACGGCGCCCCCCTCCGCCCTCACCGTCCATTTTATCAATTATAGAAGACACGACGCGGCTCACTTAGCATTGTAAATATGTGGCCAGGTTTGTGGTATAAAAAAACAAGTCCATTCCACGAGCACTTTTGAGTTAATATCTTTTGTTTACATCATGACAGGTTGAACTGGACGCTATATTTAAGTGTGTCAACAGGGTGCTCGATAAAGTATCAACAGAGTGCTCGATAAGTGTTTATAACAAGTTACGGTAGACAAAAGTCCCCTAGTCTATAAATTGGGGGGAGTGTGTGTGTGAAGGGTGGCAGGAGTTCCCCCAATTTCCTACCCTTCAAAATCTCCTTTGTCTCCTCCCCTTAGGATGAGCATAGCTCCATATTCCTACCCTTCTACCCATTGGATCGACTACGTAATCCAGCTCTCTGGCTCGAGAGTAAGTAAAATCTGGTAATTATCAGGGTGGGTAAGCTTGTAAACAAGATTTGGTGGGGAAGGGGCTTTCTTCCCTGCCTATTTCACAATGAAGTAGAGATAATGATAAGAATAACTGAAAGTGGGAATAGGGTGCAAAGAGTATAAACATCTTCCAACTCCATCTTAGATAAACATCCCAATAACCCAATATATATATATATATATATATATATATATATATATATATATATATATATATATATATATATATATATATATATATATATATATATATATATATATATGTTTCATTGAATATGACCGCATATTCTGTATTTATTATTTTCTGGTTTAGGGCTTCTATCCCTCTAACTATTTTCTTAGCATCAGGGCTTAATTGAAATAGGAGTTCTCCAAAACTCATTTTCGTACTTTTAAGGTGAAGAAAAGAAGTGATTTACTATAGAGTGTATTACACTTATTTGTATAATTTGCACGACGTTTCGAACCTCCATGGTTCATTCTCAAGTGAACAGATCTTACAATACTAGTTGATTTTATACCCGCATTAGGTCAGGTGATAATACAATGAAGGTGAAAACATGGGGGGATACATAAGGGATAAACATAGGGGCTGCAGAAGGCTTATTGGCCCATACGAGGCATCTCCTATCTAAACACAAAGATTAATCCAGTGTAATTGGCCTGTTATGTTGGACATTGTCTTCTGTGTTGGCATCGATATGTTCTTGTCTTGTCCTTACTCTCATGGTGGGTAGAGTAAATAGTTCCGTGATTTGGGTGTTCATGGTAGGTCGCTCTATTCTTATGTGAATTGCCTCAAGAATTTGTAATCTTCTTGAATCTTGGGTTTTGTCTATTATGCAAGTATTCTTGTTCAACATTTCTCTTGTTAGAGTAATGTCATGGGCTTGTCTCATGTGATTCCTAGGGGCACCAGATTGAAGATGGCATGTCAAACGCCTCGTCAGCTTGGTCGACGTCATACCTATGTACTTACATTGAAGGTTACATCCTTCGTGGAGGCAAGTGTACATGTATACAACGCTTGACTGCTGTAGAGGGTTCATGTTTATCCCTTATGTATCCCCCCATGTTTTCACCTTCATTGTATTATCACCTGACCTAATGCGGGTATAAAATCAACTAGTATTGTATGTTTATCCCTTATGTATCCCCCCATGTTTTCACCTTCATTGTATTATCACCTGACCTAATGCGGGTATAAAATCAACTAGTATTGTAAGATCTGTTCACTTGAGAATGAACCATGGAGGTTCGAAACGTCGTGCAAATTATACAAATAAGTGTAATACACTCTATAGTAAATCACTTCTTTTCTTCACCTTAAAAGTACGAAAATGAGTTTTGGAGAACTCCTATTTCAATTAAGCCCTGATGCTAAGAAAATAGTTAGAGGGATAGAAGCCCTAAACCAGAAAATAATAAATACAGAATATGCGGTCATATTCAATGAAACATGTTTGAAAGAAAACCTGCTGCCAGTATACACCAATATATATATATATATATATATATATATATATATATATATATATATATATATATATATATATATATATATATATATATATAACTGATATATATATATATATATATATATATAATATTCAGCACACCATCCCCCCACCCCCCACCTACTTGGGATGGACGGTAGAGCGACGGTCTCGCTTCATGCAGGTCGGCGTTCAATCCCCGATCGTTCAAGGGATTGAGCACCATTCCTTTCCCCCGTCCCATCCCAAATCCTTATCCTGACCCCTTACCAGTGCTATGTAGTCGTAATGGTTTGGCGCTTTCCCCTGATAAGTCCCCTCCCATATTACCTAAGTATCATCCTAGCAGCTTTGGCTGGGATGTATCAAGCATTTACCCAACCACTTACGAAACCTGTGCATCTTTCTTGAATCAAGGCGGCTTTGTTCACATTTATTAACTAGTTTGTGAGCTTGGAAACGTCACCATCCAAGGCTATTATTGTTATCAACAGCAGTGCTTCGGAGCTGTAAACTATAATCAATGTAAACAAAGCCGCCATGATTGAGGAAAGATGTACAGGTTTCGTAAGCGGTAGCGTAAATAATGCTTGATAAACCCTAGCCCTTGCTAAGTATTTTAATTGCCTCGCCTTATAGGGACACTCACAGCACATCCTGTTCTTAAAGCACCGTAAACATAACGCTACTAACAACATCGTCAAAATTTCAGTGCTTCAAGTGAAAATAAAAACCACTGTAAAATTGACGTATATTTTAAAACTAATGAGCCTAGGCCAGGAGCTAGCTGCTATCTTGAGGTTATCTTGAGATGATTTCGGGGCTTTAGTGTCCCCGCGGCCCGGTCCTCGACCAGGCCTCCACCCCCAGGAAGCAGCCCGTGACAGCTGACTAACACCCAAGTACCTATTTTACTGCTAGGTAACAGGGGCATAGGGTGAAAGAAACTCTGCCCATTGTTTCTCGCCGGCGCCCTGGATCGAACCCGAGACCACAGGATCACAAGTCCAGCGTGCTGTCCGCTCGGCCGACCGACTAGCTCCTGGCTAGGCAAAAACCACTTCAAATTTAACCCTTGTTACATCTTAACTATAGGCGCAGAGCGACCCCCCTACTCCACTCCAACCTCCTCCCTACAGCGACCACGTCAAGGACCTCCAGCAGGGAATACTTCCTGTCAACAGACACGGGCTTGGAGCGTCCTCGGGCCGTGTCCCTCACATGCATAGGTGATGCCCCGTCTTCCCCTCTCCCTTCTCTCACCTGTTGCTCTTGTTGGGCGCGCTTCTCCCCCACTCCCCGCCACCTGGGACACGTAGGGGGGCGGACAGTGTCTCGGAAGCACTTCAGATGAATCACTGAGCCTTAGGTGAGCTCAAGGTCAGTGTCAGGCGAGCACAAGTGAGAGTCAGGCGAGCACAAGTGAGAGTTAGGCGAGCACAAGTGAGAGTTAGGCGAGCACACGTGAGAGTTAGGCGAGCACAAGTGTGTCAGGCGAGCACAAGTGAGAGTCAGGCGAGCACAAGAGTGTCAGGCGAGCACAAGTGAGAGTTAGGCGAGCACAAGTGTGTCAGGCGAGCACAAGTGAGAGTCAGGCGAGCACAAGTGAGAGTTAGGTGAGCACAAGTGTGTCAGGCGAGCACAAGTGAGAGTCAGGCGAGCACAAGTGAGAGTCAGGCGAGCACAAGTGAGAGTCAGGCGAGCACAAGTGAGAGTCAGGCGAGCACAAGTGAGCGTCAGGCGAGCATAAGTGAGCGTCAGGCGAGCACAAGTGTGAGTCAGGCAAGCACAAGTGAGAGTCGGGCGAGAGCAAGTGAGAGTCGGGCGAGAGCAAGTGAGAGTCGGGCGAGAGCAAGTGAGAGTCGGGCGAGCGCAAGTGAGAGTCAGGCGAGCACAAGTGAGAGTCAGGCGAGCACAAGTGAGAGTCAGGCGAGCACAAGCGAGAGTCAGGCGAGCACAAGCGAGAGTCAGGCGAGCATAAGCGAGAGTCAGGCGAGCACAAGTGAGAGTCAGGCGAGCACAAGTGAGAGTCAGGCGAGCACAAGTGAGAGTCGGGCGAGCACAAGTAAGAGTCGGGCGAGCACAAGTGAGAGTCAGGCGAGCACAAGTGAGAGTCAGACGAGCACAAGTGAGAGTCAGACGAGCACAAGTGAGAGTCAGGCGAGCACAAGTGAGAGTCAGGCGAGCACAAGTGAGAGTCAGGCGAGCACAAGTGAGAGTCAGGCGAGCACAAGTGAGAGTCAGGCGAGCACAAGTGAGAGTCAAGCGAGCACAAGTAAGAGTCGGGCGAGAGCAAGTGAGAGTCAGGCGAGCACAAGTGAGAGTCAGGCGAGCACAAGTGAGAGTCAGATGAGCACAAGTGAGAGTCAGGCGAGCACAAGTGAGAGTCAGGCGAGCACAAGTGAGAGTCAGGCGAGCGCAAGGCGAGAATTAAACAATCACGAGCTGCATTAGACAGTCATACGGCGGGTGTTAAATAATAAAAATGCGGGAAATAGATAAACACAAGACGTCGGACGATCAGAATGCGAAAACGCTCTAAGACCGCGTCACGCGCTGGGCTTGTGAAGAGCTACAGATGTCAGAACGTTCGTCCTTCTCTCTCCGGCCTGGCTCATGAATGATGGTGACAAGCCGTAGTTGTTTTCATTCGGCAAAATGCACCTAAACCTTTGACCTTTGCGTGTGCTGGCGTGGCTCCATAAAGCAGAACCATCCAGCAGGATGGGTAAGGGGGACCAGCCCACCGGCGAGCACAGCAGGTGAGCAGGGAAGCAGGCAGGCCAGTAGAGGAGCCGTCACAGGAAGCCTCGTAGGACACAAATTAAGAGCCACCAGTAGACACAGTGAAGTAGCTGGTGGTAGTGGTGGTAGTAGTGGTGGTAATGGTAGTGGTGGTGGTGGTGAGGATAGTGCCTGTGGCGGTGGGCAGAAAGGATAATTAGACCTTCTCTCTTCCATCGCGACTTTGGGGCTGGGAAGAGCCAGAGGGATGTGTTGGGAGGCATCATTATATCAACTCCCCCACTCCACCACATCCCCCCTCCCACCACATTCCTCAACCATTAAGAAGTGAGGTATCTCTCATATTTATTACTTTATTGAAATAATGAGGTATCCGCTTTATTCACACAAGCCTGTGTGACGCTGGAACACCTCTCCACAAGCCTGTGTGACGCTGGAACACCTCTCCACAAGCCTGTGTGACGCTGGAACACCTCTCCACAAGCCTGGGTGACGCTGGAACACCTCTCCACAAGCCTGTGTGACGCTGGAACACCTCTCCACAAGCCTGTGTGACGCTGGAACACCTCTCCACAAGCCTGGGTGACGCTGGAACAAGCCTCTGGAACACCTCTCCACAAGCCTGTGTGACGCTGGAACACCTCTCCACAAGCCTGTGTGACGCTGGAACACCTCTCCACAAGCCCGTGTGACGCTGGAACACTTCTCCACAAGCCTGTGTGACGCTGGAACACCTCTCCACAAGCCTGTGTGACGCTGGAACACCTCGCCACAAGCCTGTGTGACGCTGGAACACCTCTCCACAAACCAACACCTTCCTGATAGGCCATCAGTGCGCATCGCCGAGGCGCAGCTGACGTAATTGAATCGGGAGCAGGTGTGTTACCTGAGAATAGAAAACCAATCACGGCTGTGACATCGGCAGGTATATAGCCCGCCGCCTGGGTTGCTCCAAGAGCTACGAGGCCTGCCCAGGCTACAGGGAGCCTCCGCGTAGCCTCCAGGCTACAGGGAGCCTCCACGTAGCTTCCAGGCTACAGGGAGTAGCCTGAGGGCTGGCTGCGGTTTTCAGATTCATTTGGAACATTTACTAGAAAGAATGAATCTTGATTCATTGAAGGCCAGGATTATAAAATATAATTTTGTTGTCATACCGAGGAGACGAGGTTAGTCTAAATTGGTGATGGTTTCTCAGTTCCTTCCCTCCCTATTGATATTTTCCCAAGATGCAGCCCCACAACAGGTGTCTAACACCCCCAGGTACACCTATTTCACTGCTAAGGTAGGCACAGGCATCAGGCGAAAGAAAACGTTGCCCAAACGCTATGTCTCAAAGCGGGGAATGATGGTTCCTGGGATGCACCTTCTGCCGGAGGAGGGTAATTTACCATTCTCCGGTTCGATCCCCAGCTTACCATAGGCGCCATGACGATAATGGAAGGCTGAAGAGAGGCAAGAAAGTGCCTTACAATTTTTAACGAAAATTTTTTGTTTACGTACTAAGTGCCTTACAATTTTTTACGAAACTGTAAACCGTAAAATTTGAGGTGGTTTAGGGAGATTAAGAGCACCGCAATATCGACTTTTTTTTGTTTTGTTTGGGGGGGATTAATGATTATGGGCACCGGTACATTAGGTGAAAATAGACCAGGTTCTGACGCCTTTGGTCAGGCTAAACCACTGTATTTTTCACGGAGGGGGATCAGAGAAAACGGGACAGGGGGTATCACACACAAGTGAGAGGGAGAGATGCAAATTAAAAGATGGATTGAAAACCAAACCAAAAGATGAAAGATATTTTAGAAAGGGAAGAGAACAGGTACTTTCTGATGCTATCAAGTACTTACGCAAATAAGTACTTGCTTAAGGAAGCAGGACCGTTCCCATTCTTATCCTCATTATTATCCTCTTCTTGGTTCCAAGGGGTTGTCATAGCCAGGGGGTGGTAATGGGGGACGAGCTCCCATGACCTATAAAATGCTCCTATACGGCATGCGTCTCCAATAGCCTCTGACAACCAAGTCCAACTCCTGGCCTGCCCGGGGGGCTTAGTCTTTAATCAAGTCCAACTCCTGGCCTGCACGGGGGGCTTAGTCTTTAATCAAGTCCAACTCCTGGCCTGCACGGGGGGCTTAGTCTTTAATCAAGTCCAACTCCTGGCCTGCACGGGGGGCTTAGTCTTTAAGTCCGGCGGAACTGCTTTTACCGACAGAAGGGGCGAGGGCGTGCCTCTGGCGCCTTAAAACCAGCTGCTTCGGGTAGATGGGACTCGATAGCCTGGGAAGGCAGCCCATCTAGGGGAAGGGAAACCCTGATTTTAAACCTCCGCTGCCTTGCGGCCATACCCCTTTTTTGGGAAAGGCTTCAGGAGTCAACCTCGAGGAAAAATCCGGAGTTGGAGCCCCTAAGGCAGTTCGTTGTTGACGTCGACCTCGTTCTGGCAGCTCCTGCGACGTTGCTGGAACCATGTGTATTGGCATTTGCCTTTCTATTGGATAATTTCAGCAACGTGGAGAGGGGGGACCTGCTGCATGGGTAACAGCTTCTCCTCCATATCTACCTACCCAGGCTTTGCGCCCTGTCAGGGCGCAACTCCATAGTCTTAGACTGAAGGATGCCTACTAATATTATCCTCTTCTTACATCCCATCATTACACCCATCCTATCCTACCTTTTGCCTTGCTCTTACCTTCCTCTAGGAATTTCTTCCTCCTCTCCTCTCTCCACCTCTCTCTTTTTTGCCTTACTTAATGCCTGTGCATTATAAACCCACAGAAATTGAGTTACTGCATTTACGGGCTCACTATAGCCTATGCTACATGGACATTTTGTCCTGAGCAACTAAATCTAAAATAACAACACCCTCGCTCCCCGCCCTCAGCAATATGGTATCTTCAGGCCACAACGTTAGGTTAAATATCCCGAAAGGAATCCACAGGGGAAAATAGCAGTCTGGTTTTTACATAGACTACGTCAAGGGGAAGGGAAGGGAACTTCGAAAGCGCCAAGCCATTACGACTATATAGCGCTGGGAAGGGATAAGGATTAGGGAATGGACGGTGGGGTGGGGGGGAGGGGGGAGGAATGGTCAAGGTTACAGATGCAACTGGGAAATGGGTGACCCCCAGAGAGTGGAAATACATCTTCTACCAAATATGTTTATTTGTGATGTGTGTCTATGTATATATTAACACGTTGTACTGAATGGGGTGAGAATAGCTTGAGCTACCTCATCCCTTTGTGTGTATTTTACCTCAATAAACTTATTTCAATTTCAATTTCAATCTTCTACCAAACAATCACAGACAAGCTACTACTTGACTATCTCCTGGAATGTGGAAGCAACCAACGACCTTAGAAGAGCTTTAAGAGTCCCCTGAATCTTGCAGTAACCAGCCCGAAGCCATCAACACCGCCACTCCTCTGGACCAAAAAAAGGTGTCCAGCAGCTGGACGCCCTCATAAATACTGTCATGCAGTATCCTCCCCCCGCGATAACAGCCACATAGTAAGGACTGACTATTTAACGCGACCTCAGCACACACAGTACATTCACTCAAACAAATCCACCACTTACGGGCTATTCATGCCCGTGACACCTCTTGGGTGGCTTAATCTTTATCAATCAACCTCCCACTTATCACAATCGACTTGATATTGGTCCAAGACACACCGAAACGTCGTCGTCTCCTATGTCCAACCACTTGGGTCGGACGGTAGAGCGACGGTCTCGCTTCTTGCAGGTCGGCGTTCAATCCCCGACCGTCCAAGTGGTTGGGTACCATTCCTTCTCCCCCCGTCCTATCCTAAATCCTTATCCTGACCTCTTCCCAGTGCTATATAGTTGTAATGGCTTGGCGCTTTCCTCCCTGATAGTTCCCTTCCCTTCCTCATCTTCTGGTATGTGGTTTGGTCTTGATACTTGATACTAGCAAAAGTACTTACACCAGTACTTCTGATACTTGCAAGTAATTACACCCGTACTTCTGATACTTACGTAAGTACTACCAAGTACTTACAGAAGCACTTCTGATACTTGCAAGTGCATACGCAAGCACTTCTGATACTTCCAGGTACCTTGATACTAGCAAGTATTCAAGCCTGTACTTCCTATACGTGGGGGAAGACTGGCCACAACTCCCTCAAGACATCTACACAACCTCGCAGCGTATTGAAGTTCATTAACCGTTTCCTAAGAGGCAAACACAGCCGCCATGATTGAGGAAAGATGCACCGGTTTCGTAAGAAGACCGGTAAATGCTTGATGAATCTCTAGCCACCCCCCTGTGTCCATCCTTTTCGACTCTGCCCTCTCGACCTCTTCTGGGATTCGAGTCCCCGTGTTGGCGATGGGTCATATGGTGAAGCCCAGCACATAATTCACGTCCCAGAACGCCCACGCTTTGACCACGAGGTCAAAGGGTTGTACATAGGTCACGGCAGGTGTTGCAGAGCATGACGGGTGTTTGAAGGTCACGGCAGGTGTTTAAAGGTCATGTCAGGTGTTTAAAGGTCATGACGGGTTTTTGAGGGCCACTGCAGGTGTTATAATGCGAGTGAGGGTTCATTTCGCGCGCTCAAAAGCAATGTGGGGAAAAAGGGTGAAAATCCAATCAGTTCAGCAGGATGGTGGGAGGCAGGCGTGGATCCCCCCCCTCCCCCCATAGCCCCACCCCTCTCCTCCTACACCCCCCATCACCCCATTACCTAGGTCTCCAGGTAAGGCGGCATCCACCCATCATGTCTTCTCTGCTCCTGGATACAGCAGACCCTCGACACTGTAACCTCCTCTCCCCCTTCACTGCCCGGTAATGTACACCAATCACCGCGATCGTTATGTCTTTTGCTGATTGATTGATGAAGATTAAGCCACCCAAGAGGTGGCACGGGCATGAATAGCCCGTAAGTGGTGGCCTTTTTGAGCCATTACCAGTATCAATAGATGATACTGGAGATCTGTGGAGGTGCGACTGCATAGTCACACCTCCACAGAGGCGTGGCGTGACGGAAGATGTCTCCCATGTGTCTTTTGCTGTTGTTGACCCAGAACGCTGGATCGATCCAGCGTTCTGGGTCACCCCAGACACGTGCCATACCCTGGACGCTCGTTCAATCCCACCACCCTGCTCCATTTTTTTGTTAAATATATAACTTCTTACTTACGAAACAGATAATAAAATAAGGGAGTTGTATATATTTACGCATCAGTATATAAATGGATATAAAACCATTTTTTCCCTTGTCTGTGTACCGTTGCTTCTGGAATGTTTATAAAAAGACATTTATAAGGATAAATCTCAATCCTTATAAAATCCAAATCCTTATAATATCCTTATAAAATCTCAATCCTTATAATCCAAATCTCAATCTCGCTCTGAAGCAGAGCGAGATTGTAACACCTTTTAACTGGGTTCAACAGCTGGTGTTGTTCCCCACTGTTTCCCGCCAGCTGGCTCTACCTACCACCTGTTGAGCATGTGCAGCGAGGCTGTAACACCCTCTGGCTGGACTCAACAGCTGGTGCTGGTCCTAGTGCACCCTCCCGGCAGCTGGCTCCACCACCTGTTGAACAGGCAGGGCGCGGCAACAGGGCGAAAGTAAGCAGATTGTCCGCCTTACTGAGGCTTTCGTGAGGGGAGACGAGGGCAGTGAGGGGGGTTTTATCTCTTACACCAAGCTCCGTTCCCCTTGTTGTGTGTGTGTGTGTGTGTGTGTGTGTGTGTGTGTGTGTGTGTGTGTGTGTGTGTGTGTGTGTGTGTGTGTGTGTGTGTGTGTGTGTGTGTGTGTGTGTGTGTACTGTGTTTTGCTGACTGTATACACACACAAATATGTCTGAATCCAAGAAGAAGAACCAAATACTGTATATATATATATATATATATATATATATATATATATATATATATATATATATATATATATATATATATATATATATATATATATATATATACCTTCTGAAGATGTATTTAATATACGAAAGTACTTAAGGAAATTCCTGTTTCATTTTTCCTCCGTGGTTTGACATTGTCACATCCTTAATCACGTGTTTATTTTCGTGATATACACACACACACACATATATATTTATATATATATATATATATATATATATATATATATATATATATATATATATATATATATATATATATATATATGCAAACAAGCCTGAATGGTCCCCAGGACTATATGCGACTGAAAACTCACACCCCAGAAGTGACTCGAACCCATACTCCCAGGAGCAACGCAACTGGTAACTACAGGGCGCCTTGATAATCCGCTTGATGATGGTCAAGCGGATTAAGGCGCCCTGTAGTTACCAGTTGCGTTGCTCCTGGGAGTATGGGTTCGAGTCACTTCTGGGGTGTGAGTTTTCAGTCATATATATATATATATATATATATATATATATATATATATATATATATATATATATATATATATCTTTTACGCCTGTGTCTAATTAAGGCAAGATGCCTTGCCTAATTAGGCTTAGGCAAGAAGCTGTTTTTTTAAACACTACGATGACTCTTCTACACACACACACCTACCTGGTGCCTCATCAGGAGAAGGAAGCAAGACCTTCACCTGATGCTCCTGTTCACCTAGCAGTAAACAGGTACTCGGGAGTTAGCTGCTATACGGTACACATCTAGACTGCATCTAGATGTGTACCTAGTGATGTATAATCAGAATCAATAATGATGTATAATCCAATAATCCGAATTTGCATTTAACAAAACAGTGTAATTGTAAAAAACAAACAAATTATATACTTGGTTGTCGTTAAGTCCTTCTGACCCGCAGAAGGCCGCGCTACCTAAAGAAAATGCAGTCAATCTAATTATGGTGGAAATTAACTTAGTTGCTCATTAGAAAAATCTAAAGTTCTGGTGTGGAATTTAGTGAAACTGCACTAATATATATATAAACATATTGGCTTGGGGACTATTCAAGCTTGTTCGCATATATATTTATATTATATATGAAAGAGAAGAGAGAGAGAGAGAGCTAGCTCGAGTTATATAACAGAAAATGGTAAGTGCAATAGAATAAACAAATGAATATCGATGCCTAAGAACACCTGATATTACAAAAAGAAAACGAAGCTGAACAACCAGGGAAAACCATTATAAGTGTGACCATTAAATGAGGCAAGCTACTGTAGGAAGGAGGGAAGGGGAGAAGAGTTAATGCGCATCAAAGAGAGGAGGAGGAGGGGGGAAGGAAGAAGAGGAGGAGGGAAGGAAGAGGGGGAGGAGGGAAGGAAGGGGAGGAGGAGGGAAGGAAGCGCGGGAAAGAGGGAGGCGAGGGTAAAGCAATTCTTCACATGGAAGACCATTTCTCGCCGTCGGACGATTGATCGCAAGCTTTGGAAATATTGCAGGTGCGTTACTCACTTAAAGACGACCTCGGCATGCTCTTCACCAGTCCTTGCTGGTGCCCCTTCCCAAGTCACCATGCACCTGCCTCCCTTCACCAGTTCACTATCATGCACCTGCCTCCCTTCACCAGTTCACTATCATGCACCTGCCTCCCTTCACCAGTTCACTATCATGCACCTGCCCCCTTCACCAGTTCACTATCATGCCCCTGCCCCCTTCAGTTCACTATCCTGCACCTGCCCCCTTCACCGGTTCACTATCATGCACCTGCCCCCCTTCACCGGTTCACTATCATGCACCTGCCCCCCTTCACCAGTTCACTATCATGCACCTGGCCCCTTCACCAGTTCACTATCATGCACCTGCCCCCATCACCAGTTCACTATCATGCACCTGGCCCCCTTCACCAGTTCACTATCATGCACCTGCCCCCCTTCACCAGTTCACTATCATGCACCTGCCCCCCCATCACCAGTTCACTATCATGCACCTGCCCCCCTTCACCAGTTCACTATCATGCACCTGCCCCCTTCACCAGTTCACTATCATGCACCTGCCCCCCCATCACCAGTTCACTATCATGCACCTGCCCCCCTTCACCAGTTCACTATCATGCACCTGGCCCCATCACCAGTTCACTATCATGCACCTGCCCCCATCACCAGTTCACTATCATGCACCTGGCCCCATCACCAGTTCACTATCATGCACCTGCCCCCATCACCAGTTCACTATCATGCACCTGCCCCCCTTCACCAGTTCACTATCATGCACCTGCCCCCCTTCACCAGTTCACTATCATACACCTGGCCCCTTCACCAGTTCACTATCATGCACCTGCCCCCCTTCACCAGTTCACTATCATGCACCTGCCCCCCTTCACCAGTTCACTATCATGCACCTGGCCCCCTTCACCAGTTCATTATCATGCACCTGCCCCCCTTCACCAGTTCACTATCATGCACCTGCCCCCATCACCAGTTCACTATCATACCCCCTCACAGTGCTTCAACATAAACCACAGTTCACACTGCACCATCAGCATATGATCCGTACATCACATTCCAGTTATTCATCACCATATATTAAAGACCACCGCCTTAACTTGCATTCAACCAAGCGAGGTGACTTACACCCACTAGATAACAAGCTGGGTTCCTGTAAAAAAAAAATCTCTTACGGGCTATTCATGCCCGTGCCACCTCTTGGGTGGCTTAATCTTTATCAATCTGTAAAAAAATAAATGAATCTGTTTTGTGTGTGTGGATCGCATCCCATATTGGAGTTGGAAAACATGACTTTGTAAATCGATTGGTCAATGAGGCTTGCAGGAAAGAAAACACTGATTATGACTATCTAATGCAATTATTAGAAACATACAAATTAAAGAAATTACTTCAAATTTAGAAGAACTAAGAAATGCCCAGAGACCTGAAAGCTGCAGTATTAAAAGCTGTGAAAACTTTTGTAATAATAGGTATTTGTATGGTCATCACAGTAACCGGACCAGGCAATGTGATGTAGTCATTGCGTGAATTCGCCTTGGTTATAGACACATCTGGCAGGTTAGTGAGGCTGAGCCACTACCAGAATATTCAGATTGTAAACTCTGTGATAAACCTTCAATGCATTCACTAGAACACTATATTGTTGAATGTGAAACCGTAAAAGATTTTAGGCCTCCTGGCCTCTTGTACCATCAACTGTGTAACTATTTCATTGAATCTAGCATACTGGACGACATCCTAACAATTTATCCAAAATTTTCTTGTTCATTTTAAAGAATGAAGAACAATTTTATTTATATATTTTTAAGCTGCATATCTCATGAACTCATTCCTGCCCTTCTGTGGCAGTGCGCAATAGAAAGTTATACAGTATTTACATATTCGTACATTGAAACATTGATTGCAACCATGATATATATGTGCTACAGCCTACAGTTCAGACCTATTGTCTTGTGTATGACCCTCTGTTCTGTGTGACAGTGAATACCAGCATTATCCTCACTCTAATAAGACTTAATTAAATTCCTCAGATTAGGCAAAACTGTAAATAAATTTTGTTAACAAAGATATTATTAATAATAATGAACCTTGATGCTCAAACCAACAACCACTTAAATCTTTGTTTAATGCAAATAACCTACTCTTCTTTCTCCTAGTTGGGATGTTAAGGTGTATTTACACAATTAAACACACTAGCGTGAAATATCTTTACGAAAATCATTACAGCAGGACAGGGATCGAACCAGCGACCCCTATCCTAAACCTGGATATTTTTTTTATTTTTTTTTTTTGAGATATATACAAGAGTTGTTACATTCTTGTACAGCCACTAGTACGCGTAGCGTTTCGGGCAAGTCCTTAATCCTACGGTCCCTGGAATACGATCCCCTGCCGCGAAGAATCGTTTATTTAATGGCACTATAACCTTCAGAAAATGGAAACATTGGATAGGAGCAAAACAATCTTCCAGAAAAGTTCGAACGATGTTTTGAGTCGTGCGTAAGCATTTTCATGCATAAAAAAGGAGGGTGAGGGAAGGGGGGGGGGGGAGAGGGCTGGCGGCTGCATTAATGAGCATTTGATCTGGATCGTTAGCGATTCAGGGAGTTGAGTTTATTGTAATAACAGGTTTCTTTGCTCTAATTAGCAAATGAATTATTAAATTATAATTATTATTCGCGTTACAATTTTCGCCGTTTAAATTTTACCGCTAATCATCATTTAATGTTTCAATTCTAAATCGTAATTTATTAACTCACAGCCTGTGTTACATTTCCCGTTGCTCATCAGCTGCTGTGTTGAACCTCAAACATGTGTTGCTAATCTCTCAAGAAGATCTCTTAGTGTTAGAAGAACTAAGAGTGTGACAACTCTTAACCCAAACTAGCCTAGCCTAACACAGCCTTGCCCAAGCAAATATATATATCCTATCCTAACGACATGGACAATTTTGAAAATAAGATTTTCGCAAAACGAAGCAGTTCGCTCTGTCGAACTGTCTCGTTTTGCGAATTGACCGGGTTGAGCTTTGGCTCTTTGGTCCCGCTCACGTATCAATGACTACGGGAGAGCTTTTACGGGCTATTCATGCCCGTGCCACCTCTTGGGTGGCTTAATCTTCATCAATCACCAGGGAGAGTTAGGTCTTGTCCTTTATGCCCCGCCTGGAGCCTTGCTGTACCTGTTGTGTACTAGTTTAACTATTCTGGTGTGGGAATTCTTCGTCCAATCAATTCTTTGTTACCAACGAGTCAAACATCAGTCTGTGGTTGGCGTTAATCATCACAGCACGTGCTGTGATCCCAGCAGTTGACCCGGGCTGCGATCCCAGCATCAGGTACGTGTTGTGATCCCAGCATCAGGCACGTGCTGTGATCCTAGCAGCAGGTACGTGCTGCAATCTCAGGAGCCTGGGTCACTAAACAACAGCCAGCGAGGGCGGCATTAACATAAACAAGAGCAGGAGGGTGGCTGCGTCCGGCGACTTGAGGGATGCCGGGTGGAAGGCAAGGCTCCCGAGGGCGGGATGACGGGTGGAAGCCAAGGCTCCCGTGGGCGGGATGACGGGTGGAAGCCAAGGCTCCCGTGGGCGGGATGACGGGTGGAAGCCAAGGCTCCCGTGGGCGGGATGACGGGTGAAGCCAAGGCTCCCGAGGGCGGGATGACGGGTGGAAGCCAAGGCTCCCGAGGGCGGGATGACGGGTGAAGCCAAGGCTCCCGAGGGCGGGATGACGGGTGGAAGCCAAGGCTCCCGAGGGCGGGATGACGGGTGAAGCCAAGGCTCCCGAGGGCGGGATGACGGGTGAAGCCAAGGCTCCCGAGGACGGGATGACGGGTGAAGCAAAGGCTCCCACATCGCTGGAGGGCCCACATCCGTCCCTTGTCCCCTCCTCCTCCCACATGTATATACCCGTGTATCCTTATATACGCCCTGGCCATTCCCCGCTACTTCAAATCATCGGGCTGTATATCCACATGGATATACAAGGAGCCCGAGAGGGTCTTGGCCACCCCCTTATCCCTCCACATATCCTCACACATGGCTTTTGTTGACATTGTCATTGAAGTTATCGAGCTTTGTCTTGTGAGAACCACACGGGAAGACCCCGTCAGTCTGCAGATTTCGAATGCGAGAAGTGATAATGGAAGAAGTACCAAGGCAAGCAGGCTGGGTATGCAGAGCTAGAGTTCACTTCCCCGTTGTCAGTGATAGGTAACATGGTGGGGGGAACTAATGCCTTTATATCTATTTTCTGCTAAGGTTTCATAGAAGTATTTTTGATTCATGTTAGTAAGCTTTCCCTTCTCATTGCCTTACCCTACTAGTTTCCCCTGGGAAAAAAAGATCGTCTAATCGATTTACGACCTGATCCCTAATTACTGCTGGGGGAAGAGGTGGGCGAACAGATAAGGATTGGTTTCTAATCATCTCTCCCAGCCCAGGTCCTCGAACCCGGCCGAAACTGATAGCGAAACGTGAGAGGAATGCGCTACACAGCAATTTTTTTTACGATACTCTACGAATCCCTTAAAATGCGACGTATTAGTAAAAATTACAGCACCGTAATACTGACGCTTTCTATGCCTCGGCTTAGATAGGTTAGGGGAGTTGCTTGGGTTCGTCCGTTTCTGGCTAAGGCTAAACAGTTTAATTTTTTACGGAGTGGTAGATTAGGAGAACGATCTGGTGCCATGGAGGCGAGCGTGGGGCAGGGGGGGGGGAAGGGGGGCAGTGCCAGTGGTGGTGACAAGTGAGGACTGGTGACTGCTGTCACGGCTGTCACTGATGACCTTTACACCACACACTGCAGTGCTGGCTTCACTCGCTGATTGGCTGCAGTGATTTACAACCCTCCCCCCCCCCACTCACGCCTGACCTGGGGTTCCAATCTGTGGCAGGGTGGGGACGATTGACAACCATTCCTTCACTGTCTGCCCTTGTGTACGTACCCAACAGTAACTTGGGACCAGTCCAACCACTTGGGCTGGACACAGTAGAGTGACGGTCACGCTTCTTGCAGGTCGACGTTCAATCCTCGACCGTCCAAGTGCACCCATTATAGTTCCCCCTCCCCCACATCCCATCCAAAATCCTTATCCTGATCGCTACTAAGTCGTAATAGACAACCGCTTTCTCCCGATAATTATCTTACCTTGGGGCCTGAATGGCCAGCCACAGACTGAAGGCCCGCGCAAGTTGCAACCCTGCAAAAATTGGTAATAAAAAATTATCTTTAAGAATAATTACACGACTGGAAAGCGTCCGTGACTGGAGTTACTCCTCTCTTAAAGAAAACGGAGGATTTCCAACCTAACTTGGTTGCCTATTATTGAGGAAACGAAGTTATCTTAAGTTATCTTGAGATTATATCGGGCTTAGCGTCCCCTTGGTCCGGTCTTCGACCAGGCCTCCTTTTTGTTACACTGTACCCAGAGACTCCTTTGACTGGGTCGGTCACGCGATGATATCTCGCTTCTTGCAGGTCGGCGTTCGATTCCCGACAGTCCAAGTGGTTATAGCTACCATCCCTTCCAAGTGCTATATAGTAGTTATGGCTAAACGATGCCTCCTGATAATTACTTTATTTTATAATGCCCAATAGGCTTATACAGCCCCCCCATCCCCAAGACTGCGGACTCACCACCTTCAGAATGCAACTAACAACAGTTGCCTAACTCCCGGGTACCTATGCAAGGTGAACGGGTGCATTAGGTGATAGGAAACGCGCCCAACCATTTCCCCCTCCAACTCGGGATTCGAACACGGGATTCCCAACTGTGAGTCGAGAAGGAATACAACTGTACAACCCGAGACCACGGGTACAAAATTATGTATTTCGTGACGAGAAATACATAATGACGTCATAATCAACATTTTGGAAGCACATAATTTATTGATTGTTGTTGAAAATGTTGTTTCTGGGCGAGTTAATCTGAGCCGCACTTCCAGTGCTGGGCTCACGTGGAGTGAAAGGTCATGCACTCAGTCTACGTGAAGTTGGCTGTGGTCACGCACTCAGCGCGAGTGAAGGCCCTGATCACGCACTCAGCGCGAGTGAAGGCCCTGAACCACGCACTCAGTGCGAGTGAAGGCCCTGGTCACGCACTCAACACGAATGAAGGTCCTGAACCACGCACTCAGTGCGAGCGAAGACCCTCAACCACGCACTCAGCGCGAGTGAAGGCCCTGAACCACGCACTCAGCGCAAGTGAAGGCCCTGAACCACGCACTCAGTGCGAGTGAAGGCCCTGGTCACGCACTCAACGCGAATGAAGGCCCTGAACCACGCACTCAGTGCGAGCGAAGACCCTCAACCACGCACTCAGCGCGAGTGAAGGCCCTGAACCACGCACTCAGCGCAAGTGAAGGCCCTGAACCACGCACTCAGTGCGAGTGAAGGCCCTGGTCACGCACTCAACGCAAGACCCTGAACCACGCACTCGTACACTAAATTAAGATCACATTAAAACACTAAACTCTTGATTATCTTAGTAATCTTGCTGGGAACATCGTGACGTCATGACTATATATAGGACCCCACTTGTTTATTGCGTATAAACTCTTATGGAGGCTGGGGGTGAGGGGGGGGGGTGTTGCATGGATGTGGTCTTCACTCACCCCCCCCAACCCCACACACACACTACTACACTAGTCCTGTTAATACTACTACTAGTTCATTAATCCAGTTATGACAAGCACTAGTCCACTAGTCCTGTGACTACTAAGTCCTGTGAACACTAAGTCCTGTGAACACTACGTCCTGTGAACACTAGTCCTGTGAATACTAAGTCCTGTGAATACTAAGTCCTGTGAACACTAAGTCCTGTACTATAATTATTACACCCTGTACTCTTTTTTCCACAATCTTTTGTTAGATTTTCTATAGCCTGTGCTTTTCCATAGGCTGTACTGCCTTTCCCATAACCTATACTCTCTTCCCCATTGTCTGTATTATCTTTCCCATGCCTGTACTCTCTTTCCTAAAGCCTGTAGCATCTTTCCCATAACCTGTATTATCTTTACCATAATCTGTACTATCTTTTCCACAGCCCCCTATAATATTTCCCGTAGCCAACTCACACACTGAAAATGCAGAAATGAATGGCTTTTTAACCCCCCTTTCGCAGTAAACATTTAAATGCTCTTCTAATCCTTCTTAAACAAATGAGATCTGACTTGGCTTTGTCTCATTAGGCTCTTTTAATTAGTTTTTTTTCTGTCTCTTATATGCCTAGATTTTTTTTTCTCTTCTACATTTAACTTCTTGCTGTTTTATTTTCTTTATTCATTTTTTACCTTCCAAATTTTGTTTAACTTTTTTGTATTTATACCTTCTTATTTAACCGTTTTTTTCCCATTCTTCCTTTTTCCTTCCCTCACTTCTAATCTTTCTTTCACTTTACCAGATTCTCTCCTTTTTCTCTATTTTCTTACCTTCTTTTCTTATTCTTACCTTCATCTTTTTCTCTCATTCATCTAAGCTTTCATTTGATTTTTACCTTCATCTTTTTCTTACAATCTCCTCACCTTTCATCTCACCCTCGTCCCTTGAGTGCCTCCAGTTTTTCTGAAGGAACTGGGTTCTAGACTAATTTAAGCAACAAGAGACCATAGAGCTGCCAGCTTCCTTTTTTTTTTTGCCCGCCATCTGAGGAGCTGGAGGAACTTGACCTATAACAAACAATTTGCACCTTGCGTATAACTTAAGTTTGTAACTAAGTTTATATAAGACAATTGCAATATGTAAGAAGACCATATGTGCCAGCTCACGTGGGAGACCGACAAGGCTCCCCCGGGTGCTGAATATCCTCTTCTTCGAGGCTGAGGCTCCCTACACACACACACACAAGCTTAGGTTATCTTGAAATGATTTCGGGGCTTAAGCGTCCCCGCGGCCCGGTCCTCGACCAAGCCTCCTTTTTGTTACAACCCCCCCCCCCCCAAGCAGCCCGTAGCAGCTGTATCTCTTTATTGCTAGGTAACAGGGGCATCAGGATGAAAGAAACTTTTTGCCCATTTGTCTCCGCACCCACCGGGGATCGAACCTGGAACCTCAGGACTACGAATCCGAAGCGCAGTCCACTCAGCTGTCAGGCGCCCCTGACAGCTTGATGGTGGTACCCGCTATGGATTAGCCAAACTTCAGGTTTGTCATATAAAACTCTTTATCCACCCACTTGGACTGGTTGGTGCACCGACGGCCTTGGGTTCTCGCAGGTCACAGTTCGATCCCCGACTGTCCAACGTTGCTCATACTATTCCTTCACCCCCCAGTCTTCACACCCCAATTCTATTGTAACTTCCACGTGGTAGTTTATGGTAGTTACACTGGTTCAGCCTCCTCATAATCACCTTACCTTCGTTAAGCCATTCGTCAATTACAAAAATCCCAACTCAAAAATAAAATCAAATTAGATTACCAATTAGTGTGTGAGCAAATTAGGGCCTCGACCCGACGCTGCTGACGTCAGAGTTTACCAGTGTGTAAGCTTGACGTCTCTGAAAATAATGACATACTGGGTAACATACTGGGTAACATTACTGGGTAAAATAATGGGTCCTACATTTAAAATCCACTCCTAAGGGGTATACAGGGTCCAGTCGACGCTCACACGAGACGAGGAAACTCTAAAGCAGCCTCTGCTGGCCATCATCCTTCATAATTCAGTTTGTCTCGCGTTATAACTTGTGAGACGAGTAATTACCTCCACATAATGACTGTCGTCTCCAAGGCCTGACAAGAGAGAGAAGCCTCCGATACCACGCCAGCCTGATACTGAAGCCTCGTCTCCTATACCCTTCACACCTTTAAGTTTATAATTAAACTTAATATTTTGTTGTTAAACCACACAAGTCAAAAAAAAGCAAGCACACCACTTACCTCAGATGTTTAGAAAAATGCACTTGTCTTCTACGAGTAAGATAGTTGTTAGTTTATCACAGTATCTTGGAGGCCTGAAGATAGGGTGGTGATGGAGCGGCTGGCTGTCAGTCCGTGCGGCCTCGTCCACGGCTGCCACAACACTCGCCGCCTCCCTCACTCCCAACCCACTCACTCTCCCTCTCCACCTAGTCATCATTTACCCTTTTTCGGCTTTCATATTTTTCACGACGTCGTATTGACCTCAGTATCGCCTAGAGATGGGATACTTGAGCGTCTTATGTCCCTTCAGTGGACGGGATGTTAAATTTCAAAACAGTAGCGTAAATATTGCTAGGGGGTTAAATGGTGGGTGAGTGCGCCTGATGGCATCCAGTGAGCTCGATGGCGACTGGTTGGACGCGACCTCAGCGTTACGCAGGTGCAACCTTGCAATATTGGTGTGCATCTCTTACTAATGAACGATTCACACTCAGGGGGATCCCGGGTTCGATCCCGGGACGGGCAGAAATGATACCCGTAGCAGTAAACAGATACCAGGGAGTAAGGCAACTGTTGTGTGGCTTGGATGCTGGGGAAGACCTGTAGTTTGACCTTACGTGCTGGCTGGCTTCCTGCCCCGAACAACGGGAATTATAATTGTTCTCGTGAACAATTATAATTGTTCTACATTAGTTATCCCCTCCGTGAGTGGTGGTGGTTGCTTTCCAACCCGTTCTCCTAATAGAACGTCGCATTTTGACGTATGCTCTAATTAAGACCAAAAATCGTCGTACTAGAAAATAGTAGCGGATAGCGAAATTGACTTACTTTCCCGTTTTCTGTTTTGGGTTCTCTGGTTGCTTAGGATAAGGGCACTTTAGTACGACAGTTTCTTGACGTTGGGAAACCTAAGGAGGACGGGGGTGGTTACCTTGCCTTGAGGTTACCTTGAGGTGCTTCCGGGGCTTAGCGTCCCCGTGGCCCGGTCGTCGACCAGGCCTCCTGGTTGCCGGACTGATCAACCATTGATCAGTCACATTTCACATTGTCACATTGATCAGTCACAAATGAAATTACATTTCATTTTGAACTGTGCTTAGAACAAGGCATAACTAGGCTTGGAGAGGGTGTTATAGGCTCTCAATTGACTTACACCTGTTGAGCAGTCTACTTCTCCCCCGCCCCCCTCCCATGCCTCTCCTCTTTTTTATGGAGCCTCAGGCGTCTGATCCAACCGTGCCTGGGGGTCGACCCTGTGACCAGGGTTCGCCCACACACACACCCTCTCAAGTCTCCCCATTCCTCCCCATTTCTTGTAACACACACACACTCTCCATCGCCCCTTAACCATCAAGCCCCATCACTGAAACCATTTTCACAACACAATCTCCTAACTGGCTTCCATCTTTTGACAGACAAACAGACAGATACATTCCCTCATACAGACAGATACATTCCCTCATACAGACAGATGGGGTACTCGACGGGGCCAGGTTTTCTGTCTGTCTGTCTCTCCCATTCTCTATGTATGCTTTCCGTTCTCTCTCAGTGGTCGAAAGATGCTCGAGTAATGGTGATCCAAGATTACAGATGTTGAATGAACGTTATTGAAGTTCAATTAACGTTATCGGCGTTGGATGAACGTTATTGACGTTGAATGAACGTAATTAACGTTGATCGTTGTTGAAGTTGAATGATCGTTATTGGTGTTGAATGAAAGTTTTCGGCGTTGAATGAACGTAATCTAAGTGTTACTTGTTTCTGTTTTACTTAGGCGGAGTGTGAGTATTTATGACTCGTATGGTCGCTTCAGTAAGATTATGCTCCATGTGTTTAACAACTTCTGCTCTGTTGAATCTAAGTTGAAATCTTATTGGGTTTATAACTGTGTTAGATAATGTTCCAGTGGTCTGTCGGGCATTTCTCCACAGTGCTAACATTTCCTCTCATTTTCTTTCACCTGTAAGCCTATTTCCCTTGCACATGGGTATCCAAGCCTGATGTGATGTAAGTGTACTTCTGTTGCTCCATTGCTCTCTTTCATCAAAATAAGTGGTTCGTAGGTGATTGAATTCTTGTACCAATCCACAGCGTCTGATGTTGCAACTGATGTGTTGTGGTCACTGTACATCATCTGCATTGCTCTATTTCTAATTACTTTCTTAATCTGTGATAGACTCTGGTATATAAATGTCTACATTTCTTCGATTAGTTGCAAGTTTTGCAGCTTCGTCTGCAATGTCATTTCCTATTGTTCCCACATGACTTGGCACCCAGTTGATCAGTACTTGACGGCCTTGATGTTTGAGTGTTTGCATTAATGATATCACATTTGTGATCAGATGGATGTTGTCACGTATGTGTTATTGTTGCAACGTTTCAATGGTAGTTCTCGAATCTGTATGTATGATAACAAGTTGTCGGTGTTCAGCAAGAGCATGTTCCAAAGCCTTTTGGATGGCTAACATCTCTGTAAAGTTGAACACCCATTTAAGAGCCTCCAAATATTTACAGAGTTTCCTGCTTTAACTGCAGCTCCGGTTTCTTGTCCTTGCTGGTCTACTGATCCATCTGCGAAGTATGTGAAGCTGTCAGATGCCAAGTTTGCTTCTATATGCATTGATGCAATATTACATAGCAGATCAGGCTTAGTCTGGTTCCTTTTTCCTTCATGACCCATAATCTTAAAGTCTGTTGGCAACGATTCCCAAGGGGCTTGCACAACGAAGTCTGCATTTATTTTGTAGACACCCCTCTCCGTGACTATTTGTTATATCGAATGTATTGATGGTGTTTATTGCATAATGGGTTCACCTGTTGCTATTGGAGGCTCTTCTGTCCCGAGTTAGTCCTCCAGTGATTATATCTTTAAGTGAACTGATTCTTGGTTTAGTCAATATCTTGGTCAGCATGCAGGCAGCAATCCTCCTTTTATCCTATTTCAATCGACGTTAGCTTGGTTTCTAGTTTAGGTTCAGTATTTTAGTCCATCTGGGAGCTCCTGTTATGACTCGAATTGCATCATTTTGAACAACCTCAACGTTTTCCCACTGGCCAGGAGAAAGAGTGAGTAAGGCAGGCGCTGCATAATCAACTAGGAAACGAATGGCGTGTATGTAAAACATTTTTAACACTTTGCGTCTCACTCCTAGATGGGGCCCTGTCATTGCTCTCATTATATTCAGACGTCATTTTGCTTTCTCCTTCAGATATTTAACTTGCTTGTTGAACGTCATTTCAGAATCTATCCACCCACTGAAGGTTAATGTCTTGAATGCGTAGGTGCCTGTCTGGAGTGTTGCCACCTAGTCTTATTGCCTTAGACTTCTGTGCAGATATTTTTAGTCCTAAAATGTATTCAAATGTTACTTTATCTAACGCCCCTTGTGCTTTATTTAAAAATGAAGGACCTGTGATGACTAATGATATATCATCAGCATTGCTTAGCAATTTAACCCCTTCTGCAAATGTCACGATAACGAAGTTTTCCATAAGGATATTATACAGACTAGGACTGAGGACTCCTCCTTGTAGAGTCCCATTTTCATGCAAGTGGTAGTCCGACACTTGTCCTTGCAACTTTACTCTGGCATACCAGAGTAAAGGTAATCTTGAATCCATGCTAGCATATTTCCCTTTACACCTTTTTTAACTAAGGTGTGTAAAATGGCTTGCGGGCTTGCAAGTTCGAATGCATTTTCTAGATCAAGGAAGATCACTATAGCCAGAACTGAGTTAACTGTTCCTAGTAATGTTGCTATGCAGTTGGCAGTACCTACTCCTCTAGTGAAGCCAAATATGTGTTTATGCAGGTCTCCAGTCTTCCACAGTAGTCTATTTAAGACCATCCGTTCTGCAGTTTTACTAATGCATGATGTTAATGAAATTGGTCTGTAATTGCCAGGTTCTTTCGGCTTAGGAATTGGAATGGTCTGCTTTCTTCCAAGAGGTCGGTAGTTTGTCTTGCTGCCAAGATGCATTGATGACGTCCAATATTCCTTGTCCTCCAGCAGGACCTGCATGTGCAACCATTGAGTATGTAATGTTATCAGCACCTGGTGCAGCGTCCTTACCACCTTTTTTGGCTCTGATTAGTTCTTGTTTGGTGAAGGGACAGTCACACTTGCCATTTGTAGCTATGCTCTCATGAATGGCTGTCAACCTCTCATGTTTTAATTGTTCTTGCTGCCTTCTGACCATTGCAGGAAGCTGATATGAAGCTGCTCTTTCTGCAAATTGGAGAGCAAGTCTCTCAGCCTCCTGCAAGGGTTGACTACATGCCTGCGGTCGGGCTCAATTCTGGCTTGAGGATATATACCAGAACTTCTCAAGGTAGTAAAGATGATCATCAAAGTACTTAAACCGAAACAAAATCCATCCATTAACACTGGTCAGTACCACAGCGGCCTCGCATCTTGCAGGTCGGAGTTCGATCCACGATGGTCCTAGTGGTTAAGCTTCCTTCACTCCCGTATTCGTAGCCCAGAATATTTTGCCCAAGTGCTACTATATAGTCATACTGGCCTAGCACCTTCACCTAATCATTTTCTTAAGACGAAACAGCAAGACGGGCTCACATTATTAGTAAACAGTTCCAACTAGAGGCGATAATTACAAGGAACGTAAATAAAGACTTTGATGCACAATGCAATCACTAACTCTGCAACCTCCACTAACCAACTAACTCTGCAACATGCACTAACCAACTAACTCTGCAACATGCACTAACCAACACACCCGACTGGGCCGAGCCACACTGGAGGGAGCCAATAACAAACCCTACCTTCTCCCCCCACCCAAAAACTTTTGGGTAAAAAAAAATCCGAGCTACTGAATTTGAAGAAAATATTGATTGTGAGCGAATCGGCAGCTGCTTCCCCGCACGCATCTTGTTCTAGCGTATAACATGCGTTAGAGGGCTTCAGCCACAATAACATGAACAAAATGACCGGTGCAGCAATTGAACACGTAGTAATTTAACAAGGTCAAATCAAGAGAAAAGTGATGACCAGACTACACACTAAAAGGTGAAGGGACGACGACGTTTCGGTCCGTCCTGGACCATACTCAAGTCGATTGGTGTCAAGTCGTCAATCGACTTGAGAATGGTCCAGGACGGACCGAAACGTCGTCGTCCCTTCACCTTCTAGTGTGTGGTCTGGTCATCATACTTT